CGGCCCTGGCTTTTTAACTTTCAACTAAACTTGGACAGAAAGGCTGTCATAGCATCGGTTATTCCTCACTTTGTAGCCCTTATTCTTACTCAGCACACAAAAGCTGCTTCCCAGCTCCCAGTGAGGGGATGGTAAGTGCTAAGATCCTGCTTTTAACAGAACAGTCACAATGCCTCGGCTACTTAAGGGGGAGCAGTACCTTAGTAGGGCGCTAGGACTCAGTCATCGGAAATATACAACTGTCTTTTTGCTCAAAAATACAAAATAAGTTGTTTGGAGGTGTGGGCACAGCAGTAAACCACTAATGCTGCCAACTGAAACCATCGACACCCCTCTTTTGAAGACAGAAAAGCTCGGTGTGGTAACATCCATCTGCAGGGGTGAACCTCTATCTCTGACTTCTAGACCATCTTGCAAACCAGTGTTACCACAATAAAAAAAATACGAAAAAAAACCTGTTAAAACAAATGACAAGGAAAGACAGAGCCGAGGTGTGAGCGCTCCCGCCGGCCCCGCCTCCTGCCGCCACCAGCTGCTGGCCGGAAGCTCACCAAGTGCTCTGGCTACAGGCAGAGCGTGCTGGGGTGACTCCCGGGCAAAAGCGGGGGCTGGTGGGTGACTTGCTCATGCCTCTGAGCCCCTGGATTCTGTTCCCCGGAGGTCCCACCTTTGCTGCGGCGTAACCGCAGGCAAGGCTGGTCTCCCACAGCTGGGGAGGGGCTCCGTGGCTGCAGAGACCCCTGGGAAGGACGTCCACAGGCCCTGTCTCTCCGGCACAGAGGAGCAGTCCTCAGCCAAAGGTGTCACCATCAGAGCCAGGATGCCAGTCGCCACTGTCCCTGCAATGGCCGAGGTTACTGTCCCTGCAGTGGTCGAGGTTTAAGGCCAGGAGGCAAGGACAGGCCCCTGCGCCCAGCCAGGGGGCAGCTGAATGCGGCCAGACCAGGAGCCCAGCTGGGCTAATGCTCCGAGGCTCAGCCCAGATGCTGTCGCCAACGTCGCCCAAACACACGGCGACATGGAGACTTCCCGACCAACCCAGACGCAGAGCGTGGAACTCCCTTTCCTGCGGGGCTGCATCCTGGTGGTGGAAGAGACCCCATGGCTTTGGGGCTCCCCGCAATATGCGGCTGGCTTTCTCACCAAGGTCCTCAACCATTGCGGGGGGCGAGGAGGAGAAGGTCAAGCTGCAAACCTGCTTGTGCCTCCCCAAAAAACATCTACACCTACACTCTGGCCTGTGCTTCCTGGTGCTCAAAGGACTGTGCCCTGAGGTGGGGTCCAGGGGCCAGCGGTAAGACCTCTCAGTTGCCTTTGTTCCCAATTTTTGTTATCAGAGACTTAACCCTATCGTGGAAAAGACTTTAAAATAATGAAAGCTCTTAGCTTTGTCCCATAAATATCCACAGTGACATTGCTAATGAACTTCCCTCCCCATTTCGTGCCATTTCCCCATACCCAGTGCCCACCCCAAGCCCCTCACCCTGACTGTCAGCGAACATTCCCCCAGCCCGCCGGAGGCTTGGAGCGCCCAAAGGCCAGATTTAAAACCAGACTGTGGGTTCCTTAAGCCCAAGCCGCACACGGTGAAAGGGCCCCCCAGGACCCCAGGGCTCAGGACGGCAGCAGGTACCTCACGGAAGCTGAGCTTGCCGTCGAAGTCTTCGTCCACCTCCTTGATCATGCTCTTCAGGCCCAGGTGGGTCTGGGGGGCCCCCAGCTTCTCCATCATCAGCTTCAGCTCCATCAGGTCAATGAAGCCATCCCGTCCGGCGTCATACCTGAGGGCCAGGACAGAGGTCACCTGTGACTCCCAAATGCGTCACTCCCTTTTTTGCCCCTGCTTTGCAGCGCCCCCCAGGCGCCCCAACAGGATGCGTCTCTTCTTGACAGTCTCTTCTTGACACCTCTCTTAGGACGCGATTCAGAGTGTGGGCCCTGTGCTGTTTGTTTCCCTGTCCTTTATGTCTTTAACTACATCAGAAGCTTCTTGAGGGTGAAAAATACCCTCCGTGGGCCTTGATTCCCCCCAGCTTCAGACCAACCCTCTCAGTGCTGGACAACGGGGGGCAGGCCCAAGCACCCTGGAATTTCACATGGAGCGGGGAGATAGGCAGGCAGGTCCACGCCCTCTGGTTGGGAGCTTGTCCTCGGTGCTCTCCTCAGTGTCCAGCTCTGAGCATCCGAATGAGGATGCTGGGATAGGCCAGTACTGGAGAGAGGCCCGATTCTGGGGGAGAAGCCCGTTCTGGGGAAAGGCCCAATTCTGGGGAGAGGCCCGCTTCTAGGGAGAGGCCCGATTCCGGGGAGAGGCCCCGTTGTGCTCTCTTTGTAGGCCCCGAGCCAGCACCCCCAGCCCCAGTCCCTGCCTGGAACAGACCCCAGGGAATCCCGGCTGGCCCCCCAGTTCCAAGGGCAGGTCAGCCTCTCGGGGGTCCGTCCGCTTTCTACCACCCACCCCCCTTCCACCCCCCTTCACAACACACAGGAGCGAGACCTCGCGTTGCTCAGGCATTAGAGCAAGTCTGCTCACGGCAGCCAGCGGTGGCTACAGCCCAGGCTCCGCGCACGGCCGAGTGGTCAGCAGGAAGCCGCCTGCTAGAGGGCGCGGCGCCAGACAGCAGGATAGCAGTCACTCAGGAGAGATGCCACGGACGCTCGGGCGGGGGCCCGCAGCCGTGTGCCGAGGGTGAACGGGCCGGACGCAGGGGCAGCGCTCAGGCCCACTCCGGGAGCACCTGTGCGGGCGCAGGCACAGCAGGAGCGCCAGCACCAGGCCGGGGCACGAGGTGGGGGCGGGTGCGCGACGGATGGGGCCTCCCTCTGGAATGGGGAGAAGTTTCTGGAGACAGGTGACGGACGGTTATACCCGCGCGTCTGAGCCCTCCTCTGCGCACTCGGCTGGTCAAGGGAGTCCGTTTTTCATGTGTAGTTTTGCACAATAAACAAATCAGGCCCCTTCACGAGTGCCTGCTCCCCCCCCCACCCCCAAGCCCGGTACCAACACAAAGCCCCCCAGTGTTGAGGCCACGTCAGCGCCCACCAAGAAACGCAGCCCGTGGGAAACTCGGAATGCAGCACTGTAGGACGGTGGCATGCGAGGCTCGGGGTTGGGCTGGCGAGGGGGCCCGGGGCTCCCCGACATGCCATTCCAGCCGCTGGGACCACCGCGTTCCTCCCCCCAGCACCCCAGCCTCATCCGCCTCCAACAGCACGGACTGTCCACCTCAGCAGCGGCCGCCGCCCCTGCGCCTCTAGCCCGGGCGCCCACGCTCCCTTCCTCTGGACACTGTCCCAGCACGGCAGGACTGCAGGGCAGGGTGCCACAGGCCGCGGCGCCTGGTGTCTGCGGGTGAGCGCTGAGGAGGTCCGAAGGCCAGGACAGGGGTCCGAGGCCTGGAGAGAGCAAGCCCTTCGGGGTGCCCGAGCACCAGCTTATACCACAGATGGGCAGGCCTGGACCCCACACTAGACGTGACCGGGGCCTCAGCTGCCGCTTCCTAGCCTCCTTTCAGAGTAACGACTTTGCCGAGGAGGGGTCTGCACGCCACAAAATCCACTCTTAATGGACACTGCTGCGGCCACCACGTGGCCACCACGCCATGCCCCACGGCCTTAAAGACTTGGCTGGAAGTGCCGCGCGGCCCCCGCCCCTGCCTCTGGGCATTTGTTTTTGGTTCTGTTGTCTTGTGTAAAGGAACTGGGGTGCAGGCCAGAGGTGCGGGGGTGAGAGGACTCACCAGAGACAGAGTCGGGAGCAGAACAGGCAGACTGACTGCGATACACTGAGGGGGCAGCAGGGAGACAGGAGAGGGCTGCTGCGCCCTGGGCGTCCCTCCCTGGCCAGGGGTCAAGCTCAGGCCAGAGCTGACAGTGCTGAGGTAGCCCCTGGGCCACCGGCGAGGCCCTGGGTGTTTGCGTCAGTCCAGCAACGCTAATGTGAAGAGACACACACCTCCCTGTGTCCACAGCAGCGTGCTTTCCTTCCCCCACTGCCCCAGATGGCCTGCGCCACTCTGGGCTGACCCACACTCTGGGGGGACCTGGGGCCTGTCCACAGGGGTACCCCTGAAGGAAACCAATCAATTTGGATCCAAGGGGGCCAGAGCTGCCTTCTGACGGGGCATTTAAACTTCCCAGGAACATCCCCAAAGGTTGGCCCGTCCAGGCGGTGTGTGGACGCACCAAATGACAGCCCAGGAAGAGCTTTCTGGCAAAAACGGCCACTTGACGGAGACAGGGGTAAGGAGCGCTGGGCAAGCAGGCCGGGGAGGCTCACTGTTACGCGGAGCCAAAGTCACAGTAAACAGCTTTCTTTACTGTGGAACTTTCCAGAACCTTCCATATGGTCAGGTGTCTGAAACCTACCAGGGAAGCAGCACACACAGCCTTGTCTCGGCACCCGGGATTTTCCACTGTGAAGGTGCTTCTCAGCCGCCTCGTGTTCCGAGGGAAACACTGCAGGGCGGCTCAGCATCAGACGGGGCGGCCCAGTCAGGACCCCCCAGCCCCTTCTATGCTGAGATCTTGAGCCAGCGGCCTTGGTCCCTGGTGCCCCCGGCAGTGCGCAGTGAAGAGGAGACGGAGGCCCCGAGTCTGGCCCATCGTGTGGGTCCCCTGGGAGAAAGCAGAGCTGGGGCTGAGGGCTGAGAAGGAAGAGAAGACGGGGTCACTGGAACGCTTAGGTGTAGAGACAGGCTGGCCCCAGGAACAGCACACAAGGTGGAAGAGGGGCGAGGAGACCAGAAGAGGTCGAGCAACAACCTCCTCACGTGGCTCAGGACGAGAGGGGCTTCCGGCTCCACCCCAGCACCCAGGCGCTGCTCATCATCGCCCCTGAGGGCTTGCAAGTGGCCTCTGGGGCTCCGGCTGGGCGGGGCGCTGGCTGGAGCCTGCCCTTGGGGCTCACAGCTAGGGGCCACGCTGGGCAACAGACTCAGGAATTCCAAACTACTTGAATGGGCAGGAAAACCTGTTTTCAGCCACTCAGCCGAGCATGGGCCCGGAGGCAGGAACCCATCCCCCATGAGCGAGGGCGAGGCTGCGGCCACAACAGGCCCCTCGTGTCCGCTAGGGGCCGCCAGCGGGGCAGGAGGAAAGCCAGTGTGCGGGCCTGGGGGGTCTCCCGGCGGGCGGCGGGCGGGGCGGGCAAGGGGTCCTGGGCGCCAGGCTGGCCCGCTCTCCTTAGCGCCTGCTGGGGGCGCCAGCCAGGCACCACACTCAAGGCCGGGTGGGTTTGTACAAGGACCCCATTCACGCTCCCCTCCCCTCCCCGCGGTGCCAGGGCTACGATCCAGGAGCGCATCCTGCCCCCTTCAAAGTGGCCCTCTGAGAGGCCTGTCCATGTCCTTCAGGGGCCGGCTTCCTTCCTCCCCTCAGGCCTCTTTCTCTGCTCCTCCTGCCGCTGAGAAGCAGAGCAGCTGGGCTCCCGCGCCTGGCAGCCAAGCCCGGCAGCTGCCAACTCTCACTCACCAGCCTTCTCATCCCTACCACCCTCCTGGGAGCCTTCGAGAAGAGAACCCATGCTGCCGCACTGGGCTTACAGGGCGGCTCAGGCCTACTCAGCTCCCTCCTTCATCACACTGGGAAGTAGTCATTAGTCACCCCCTAGACAGAGCATGTGACAAGTCGTTTCTGAGGGTCAGGCCTAGCCTGGGGTGTCTGACGGCCCCCAGCTTTCCTTGGGGGCAGGGAAGGCAGGAATTGATCACCTCTGAGTTGGGACCCAGGAGACCCCTCCACTTGGTGGGACGGGAGGGGCAGAGGTCAACTCCTGCCAGGGACAGCGGAAGACACAGGGTGGGGGGCGGCGGGGGGACTCCTGGGTCCTGGACGTGCCTGAGCTGTGGTTTCAGTCTCAAAGCAGGCGCAGTCCCCGGTTTCTGGCTGCGTGAATGCCAGGGGTTCTGTCTTACCAACCTTTGGAGAAACAGCTTTCTCTGCCCTCCAGAGACCTTCTTACCTGACCCCCGGATGTTCCGCTGCGGGATGTAGTTGGGTGCTTGGCTGACGAGGAAGCCAGGGGACGGAGGCCCTTCCCAGCCTGGAGGGTAGGACAGGGAGCTGGGGAGAGGCCCTGGGTGGGCTGGCCTTTCTTAAGGAGCCCCAGCAGCCTGGACTCAGCACCCACCTTTCAGGAGCTTTCCTTCCCAACGCCTGCAGGCTAGTGGGCAGCCCTGAACAGCGAAGCTCCCCTCTACCAACATCTGAGCTTCTTAGTTTTTCCTATAATCTAAATACTGACCTGGAATTTTCTGATTAAAGGCTATTCAAGAAAAAACACCCATAATCCCAAGACCAGAGCCCTCTTTTCCCCCTGGGGCTTCTCTTCAGTTCCACCCTGGAATGTCACTTTCTCCCAAATTTTTGCTTTAAACTGTCCTTAGAAGATAACAGTTGCCAGGGACCAGCAGAAAGGGCGGAGGGGGGGGCGGTAGGGGCGGTGGGGGCAGATGGGTTATGGGCACAAAGATGAAAGTGAAAAACATTTACAAAAATACGCATGAAGACAATCTTGCAGGGTGTAGGTCGGGTGTGGAGAAGAATCAAGATCAGTCTTGATAACTGCTGAAAGCAGGTGATGGCTGGGTGAGGGCTTAGCTCTGCTTTGGTCTAGAAATTTAATAGCTGACATGCAAACAGACTTCTCAGGGGCAGACAGGACCCACCACTCTGCTCAGCGTCTCCACCTGCCGCCTGTCTCACACCAGGAGCTGCGCTTCCCTAAGCCCCAAGCCCGGGCTGCCCCTCGGACTGGACTCCCGCGGGGCTGGAAAGCCCT